CTGTAGGAATCTTCAAGGCCCTGGGTTTCTCAAGCCCTGTTGATGATTTTTCTGATTAGCAGCTTGTTGACTGGAGAGCCACGTCATCATAGAGCAGAGAGAGGCAGCTGGTTGGGACACGGTGTCAGGAGGCACCCAGGCAGGGCTGTGCAGTGGGTGATGGAGGCGATGAATGGGCCCCGGAGGGTGGGGTGAGAGCCCCCTGCTCACATGGCCATATGGGCCACTTTTTTTGCCTTTCTCCCTGGCCACAGAGGCCCTCAAGTGTGGGCTCCTGTTCATGACGGAAGACCAGCAAGAGGGTGTGGATGGCTGAGGACAAACCCCTCTCCCCTCTGGGCAAAACACTGCAGCCACAGGCCTTTCCGATGACAGGTTAGAGGAGTCACCTCAGACACAGAGGCCAGAGCAATGTCTATAATTTGCATGGGTCCCAGGCAGGGTTTTTTGACCAAATCCCAGTCAAGGAAGGAGAATTTCCTTCTTTCCTTCTCTCTCTCCCTCCCTCCCTTCCTCCTTCCTACTCTCCTCCAGGAGTTTTCTATGTGGTTTGTTGTTTTTCATTGCCACCCAGAAAATAGACTGGTGGTGCCTGTCCCTGGTAAGTGCTGCCAAGTTCTAACCTAACCTTGATGAGCCTGTAATGTATACAACACTTGGGGACTCCTTGGGGACTCCGGGCATGGTACACAGGCCAAGCAGACGTCATCTGGGCTGAGAGGCTGAGCCTAAAAAAAGACTTATCATTAAGGACACAGAAGCCACCAGAGTAGAAAAAGAAAACAACCATTGCAGACACTGAGTCTGTTGTTCAGAAACGAATTCATACTTCAGAGGGAATTCACTGGGCATTGCCTAGAGAGAATCATGGAAAAGAAATGTTTGGTATTTTGTGCCCCAGCCTGGCCTCTGTGTTGCAAAAGGTGAGGTATGTGCACTGGGAAGCTGGGAGGGGAGTGCTTGGGAGAGCCTGCATTCCGCAGGCAAAAGTAAATGGTGCCTGTGGAGACAAGGGCTTGTGCAGGAAAAAGCCAACACAGATGCCATAGGACTTGAAGGGTTAGAGTCAGCTGTGAGAACACGGGGGATGCAAACTTATTCCAGGGAGAGGCCAGGTTGCCACGGATCCAGGTCTGACCTTTGTGGGGATTAAAAACAATGAAAGGTCCATCCTAAGTCCTTACTTATATAGATATCTGTGATTTCATTTAATCCTAACAACAACCCTGCGGGGTAGACATGATGGCCTTCAGACCAGGAAGCCGAAGCACAGGAAATTTAAGAAATTGCCCAAGGATGCATATCTATGAAGTTGGTCTCAAACCCAAGTGGGCAACTTCAGAAGCTATGCTTTAAATGAGCGCTTCTCACCCATTAATGTACACAAATCACCTGGGGTTTTCTAAAACGCAGGCTCTGAGATGGTAGATCTGCGGGGCAGAGGGCTCTGACATCTCTGGGGAGGAGGGTGCCCTTGCTGCTGGTCCCCACACCCCGCTTTGAGAAGCAAGGTTCTCCACTCTGTGCCAAACCTGTTACAGCAAGTTGTCCTAAACCATCCGTTAGTTCACAACCTCCTCCTCCTTCAGCCTCATCACCAGCCACAGGTGGAGTAGTTTGCTACGTTAGAAGCACTGCCTTAAACTCGCTAGAGACTGATTCGTTAAAGCCTCATCATGACGCTATGAGGGAAGAGGGGTCATTATTCTTCCACAGATGATGAAAGGTTCAGTAGATGGCCCCAAATCACACAGGAAGTGGCCGTGCCTGGATACAGGGTCCAAAGTCCTGGCTCTTAACATGTTCTGCAGAGCAAAGCATTCAGATAAAACCGGGGCAAGAGAGAATGGGATCTTCTGCTAGAAGTCCCAATTTTTTTTCTTTTTTTAAATTGAGATATAATTGACATATATAATATATTAGTTTCAGGTGCACAACAATGATTTGTTATTTATACATATTACAAAACAACCATCACAATAAGTTTAGTTAACATCTGTCACCACACATAGTTACACATTTTTCTCTTGGGATGAGAATGTTAAGATGCAGTCTCTTAGCAGCTTTCAGAGGTACAATGCAGTATTATTAACTACAGTCCCCACGCTGTACATTCCATCCTCAGGACTTATTTATTTTATAACTGGAAGTTTGTGCCTTTTGACCATCTTCACCCATTTTGCCCACCCCAACCCCCACCCCCACCCCCACCTCTGGTAACCACCCATCTGTTCTCTGTACCTGAGTTCCCCAATTATTTTTGACTAGGCGACAGGGAGGCTGGCGATGGGGAGGGTCTTTCTGGTGAGGGTGGACCAGCTGCAGGTGACCCTGGGATGCCCGTCCCACCCACGGCCAGGGTCTTGTTTTATATATGCAAACAAACAACTTGCTTGAAACCAGAAAAAAGAACAGACTTTGGAGGCTGAAAAACTCTCTTCTTTAGTGTCCAAGTTGGAGAGTGAGAGAGAAAATACAACTCTTTAGAGCTGGGATCAAACTTCTCCCTCCCTCCTTCTGCCTGCCTTCCTTCACGGTCCTTCCTTCTCTTCCCCCAGATGCCACAGCAGGAGAGCCAACCATCCTTGTAATTTGCATCTCAGCAAGCACAGACATACTTGATTTCCTTACATGCCTATAATCCCTTCTTAAGTCACATAAAGCTATTTGTCTTTATAAATCTCCCCAGCGGTGAGCTCCCTGGGACAATTATGTGTAATATATACTTACAGTTTTATTTCATAAGCCCAACTCTAACCAAAAAATTGGCCTGAGTAAGCCCACTCCTCAATAATAATTTTCCATTCCCTGTGAGTCTGCAGCATTTAAGTTTTGACTGGCCTTTACGTTTGACTTCTTTAGTTGGAGCAGCCATGGCTGAGAGGCTTTGGGTGGGACTCAGAACTGCCTTTGAATCACAGCCATGCCCCTTGCTAGCTTTGCGAACGTAGGCAAGTTTCCAAACTCTCTGAGCCTCCATTTCCTCATCCACAGAATGGGGATGCTAACATGCCTCACAAAGTTGTTGTGAAGATTAAATGAGCTGTAACTATGTGAAGGTGCCTGGAATAGGACAGATGATCAATGAGTCTTCTCCTTTCTGGGTAGTGGAAAATAATAGCTAGGATGTGACTGGGTTCTTCCCTCTGTCTCTCCTGATTTTATGGTGCATGCTCTATCTGAACAACTAGCCGTCATCTTTGTAAAATTGCTAATTGCCAGATCAGCCTGCGGCTCCAGGCAGGGATGGGCTGCCCTTAGAATCAGATCCCTCCTGTATCATTTTAGTTTTTTTTGTTTAGCTTAATTTTTGTGAATGTCTCCAGCTCACTGTAAAGGCCCTCATGCCAGCTGGTCTGTTCCTGCTATGTTTAATTCACCCCCAATAACCTGCTTGGTCAGCATCTCTCTCCATCTCTTGCTGTGTTTTCAGAAGTGCATCTGTCTGGAAAAAGCATTTATTATATTTACTTTAACTGGCCTCATTTGGCAAGGCCGTCTGGGATTTCAGTTCAGGAGGAAAACAGCTTTGATTACACCGCCCTTGTTTACTGTGTGCACTCTTCGCTGTGTGTCCCTTGTCTAGAAAGACAGCAAATGCTTTTGCAGGAAGCCAAGACGCAAGTTAGACCAAGTGTCTCTCTGTGAGCGCGTTGGCAGCCCCTGGTCCATGGCTGCTTTGCGTAGTCTCCTTCGTCTGAAAACCATGCCCCCATTTCTAGTCATCTACCTCTCAGTGAAGTCCAGCAGGTAGATTTTCCTGAATAGCTGTGTCTAAGGCCCCAGGAAGAGCACTGGCTGGATCCCACAGTGCCATGGGGACAGGGAATGCTCCCCAGCCAAGTGTCATGGTGACCTAGGGCATTGTCTTAGCCCAGACCACCGTTATCTCTCTGGTTGATTCTATCACAGCCTCCTGACCAATCTCTGCCTCTGGCCTTGCCTTCCTCCCATCCATTCTCCACACTGCAGCTGCACAAATCTAGTCATTACATCACCTTATTTAAAATTCTTCAATGATTCCTCATTGCTCTCAAGAATGAACTCAAACTCTTTATAGGGTGTATGAGGCATGACCAGACTCTCACCTTTTCACTGGCCTTTTGTAGTCTATGCCCTAGTCGTAGTGAACTTTTGCAGTTTCTTCCATTCATTCATTCATTCATTCAACCATTGATTATCTAGGAAGATGTACATGCTAGACGCCGTGCTGGACACTGGGGTGTCAGTGATGAGCAATAACCAATATGATCCACCTTTCACAGAGTTTTAGGTCTAGGGTGGAGATGACAATCGAATAATCCCACCCACAAGTGTCCAGTGGTAGCTTGAGGAGTGCTATGAAGTGAGTGGCAACCAGCGAGGTGAGGCTGCCCGACAAGATGACCTGACCTCATCTGGGAACCAGACGGGCTCCCTGAGAAGTGGCAAGTGAACTGAGATCTGAAAAGGAGGCAGACACAACTGGGTGAAGAGGGAGGTGGGAGCGCCTGACAGGCAGCGAGAGCAGCATGTGCCAAGCCTTGTGGCAGGAGGAAAAGGTGTTTGAGGAGCCGAGAGAAGCAGACCTGTGGGTCTGGAGCACAGGGAGCACAGGGGACATGGGAGGGAGGGGAGATGGGAGAAGATGGCAGGGGAGCCAGGACCGCAGTGTGGGCTGCGCTGAGGGTAACGGTTTCTCCCAGGAGCAATGGAAGTCCCCGAGATGTGTGCACAATGGGACAGCATAAATAGAAAAGATCACTCTTGGGTGAAGAGGAGGTTAGAGGAGGGCAGGAGAGAGTGTGGGGAGGTTACTCAGAAGTGAAGACAGGACATGATCGTAGCTTAGACCAGGTGGTGGCAGTACAATGAAGGCAGTAGACAAACGTGGTAGGTACTTGAGAGATTAAATCAGTGGGGTTTGGCAATGGCTGGATGTGGGGTGGATGGGCTGGGGAGAGAGCTGTCAGGGTTTGCACTCAGGAACTGAGGTGGCCCAGGAGCCAGGGCTCACTCACCTGTGAGGGTGGCTCTGGAGGTTGGGCCGATGCTCTTGGGAACCAGCAGCTCGTGGTACTGCTCGCCTGCCAGGGTGCTGTACACAACCTTGTACCCCTGAACCTCTGCTTCGCTGTTGTCCCATTCAAGGTCAAGGCTGGTTGCCGTGCGGGAACCAACCCGCAGGTTCTTGGGGGCGTCGATCTCTAAAAACAGTCAGACATCACCAACATCACACAGGACAATGTGCATTTGTCGTGCATCTTGAACCTTAACAGACTTTGGGGCAAGGGCTCACACCTCCTGACCCTCCACCCTACATGAGTGAGCCCCGGGGCTGCCACTGAGCTGTGGGTCAGCCAGGTTGGTCAGGACTCAGTTCCTGCGCAGGTTGGAGAGTTTGACTTGGAGTTAAATACGAACACACTTCACACTTTCCCTATTTCCATTCAGGAGTTCCAGTGGTGTTCTAGAAATTTTAAAATGAACCAGTTAGTATCATAAACTTGAAACTAAGCGAGGGAAACCCGAATAGGAGAAAATCACAGACGGCGTCCAAAGGATTAAGATGGAATAGAGTGATGTCAAATTGACCACCAAGCAGAAAGAAGAGAGCTGACTGTGAAATGTTGAAGTGTAAGCTGTCGTCCCCTGGGTTCACCTGTGGAACACTGCTGAAAGTTCTGCAGGTTAGAAAATTAAGTCCGTACAGAGGATGTGATGGAGTGCAAAGAATGTGGGCCTGGGAGTCCAGCCTCGGTTTGAGCCTCAGCTCTGCCACTTATTGTAATGGGACCATGGGCAAGTCCTTTCACATCCCTGGGACTCGATGGACACATCTGTAAAATGGGCAAATAATACTGACACTTCAGCTTGTTGTATAGCTTAGACACAATGCATATGAAGTGCGCGGCGTGGTTCCTGGTGCAAAAATAGGTGCCCAAGCCCTGGGCTGGCTTCCTGTTGCCTCTGAAGTTCTTCCTGAGTTCCAACAACTTGCCACCCCCAATGCTTGCTCTCTGGGGTTCCAAGAATTCCCATGCAATGAAAAGAACACTGACATTGGGGTCTCTCTCACAATCCTGGGGGCTAATTTTCTCTCCCAGGACTGATTATCTCCTCAGGCTTATTTGGGCAGAAACAACATAAACAACTGGCAGGGGAATAAGGTACTGTCTTGAAAAACTGCCACTAAGAAGTTCTAAATAGGTCTTGTCTTTGACACTTGAATTTAAGTCTGGAGTGGCCCGGCCATTTGTTCTGAGAAAACCTCATGAGGACTGCTTTAATTTGCAAATGCCAGGCATGTACCCACCAATTGTTCTTTTCAGAAGATGGGGATGCTGTGAATCAATCTGAGTGCAGCTGCTTCAGAGTGAGAAGTGTTCTGTTTAGTGATGTAAATTGGATGAATCTTTTAGCAGATTTATGTCTCTGCAGCTTACTTTTCTGAGAAGTGTTTCCTTACTCGATGTGGCTGTAGCATGCCGGATACTGTGCGTTCTTGACATGCTGTGTGTTGTGTGTGTTATTTTTCCAGCAGTTGGAGGGAGAGAGGAGCATGGATGCAGAGGCAGGCAGGAGGAGTGTCCTGGACTGCAGGCCAATACAGTGCATGCAAGAGGAGAGGCTGGGCCAAGGGGCTGGGCTGAGCTTGGGGTGTGCGGCCTGAGTGGAACTGGAGCAAAAAGAAGTTAGGATGAGGGTTCAGACTGAGTCTTGTACTACTCACAGTGCCCTTCACAGTGGAAAATCCCAGACCTTGGAAACTATGGTTTTTCTTTTCTTTTTTTGGCCTTAAGGGCTATGCCCTGTGGATAGGGGGCAGTGTTTTCTCTGAAGGGACCAGATATTGCAATGTCAGTGATGCCAAAAGGAGGTCAGTTCTGGGAATGAGGGTTTGGGTGGTGAGTCTTAGGACTGGGGTGGGGTAAAATGGTTTGCTCCCCTGGGTCTTGAAGCCTGCCCTCTAGGAGAGGCCACCGAAGGCCACTCCTGTAGGTGGCTGTGTGTCTCTGCAACATGTCAGCGGGCCAGGGGCAAAGCAGTCCACTATAGACCGTCCTACATGTCATCCATTTCACTTCTCGGGAGAGTACTCACGATTGAAATGATCCTGCATGCTTCTTTTCTTCTTGCTTGTCCAGTTTTCCTCACTGGAAAGTAACTCACATGAACTGAGATCTTGTCTAGCTTGTTTTTTCTGTGCCTAGAGTGGTGCTTGTCACCTACTGGGTGTTCAGTAAGTACATGGGAAGTGACGGAATGCATATTGTCAGTTCTTTGTCTTGTCAGTTACCTCAAAACCCTTAGAAAAGTCTTGCTAAATATTTCAGCTGTGGGGCTCTGAGGATGCTTAGGGTAAGGTGATGAGGAAAAGGAACAGCTTTGACCGAGGGTAGCTGGTCGCAGCTCGGGTGGCAAGTGCCATGCAGGTTGAACTTGAGAGAATCCCAGAGTGGAATCACTGCCGAGCAGGCTGGGCCTCCAACTCTTGTGACTTGGGTCTTTGTATGGGTGTCCTGGGACCGCCATAACAAAGCACCATAGACTGCGTGGCTTAAACTACAGAAATGTCTTGTCTCCTGGACCAGAAGTCTGAGATCCAGGTGTCAGCAGTGTGGCTTCCTTCTGAGGGCTGTGAGGGAGAATCTGTTCCATGCCTCTCTCTGGTGGTTTGCTGACAACCTTTGGTGTTCCTTGGCTTGTAGGAAGATCACCCCAATCTCTGCTTTCATCTTCACATGGCGTTCTCTGAATGTGTGTCTGTCTCTGTGTCTAAATTTCCCCTTTTTATAAAGACATAGTCATATTGGATTAGGGCCCACCCTAATGACTTCATCTTAACTTGATCAACTGCAAAGACCCTATTTCCAAATAAGGTCACATGCACAGGTACTGGGGGTTAAGACTTCAACATCTTTTAAGGGACACAACTCAACTCATAACAGCATTCAAGAGAGGTCTGGGGCATTCAGGTTCAAGCAGCAGCCTCTCGTTGGCAAATGCCCTGGAGGCTGCGTTCGGTGCTTTAAGGGATGTGCTCAGAGAGAAGGCCTCCGCTGGAGAGAAACAGTCCCAGGAATTCCCTGTGAGGGCACTGAAACCAGAGCCACTGAGAGCAGGGAGACTCCAGAGATTGGCCTCCCAGTTTCCCTGGGCCGGCTTCTCTCTAACCATTGGCCTTGGTATGTTTCCATCAAGGCCCTTTCCTTTTTCCGAGCAGCTCTAAGACCCAGCAAATATCCCACTCACCATGCAGGAAGCAAATCTGTTTTAATTGCCTATGCAATTAGTGCGCTCCTAGTGTCGAAGCCATCACCTGGAAAAGCACTTTGGCTAATTTGAATTTAAGCGGAGTTCTGAAATGACCGAGGGCCCTACGGCGAGGGTCCAGGCACCCTCTCATCATTCAGCCAGCACCTGCCAACCCCAGGCCCTGAGAGCTTGTCTGCAAAGCTGTTCGCATCTCCTCGGCCCCATGTCTCTCCAGCCCCCTTGAGCGGAGGGTTGCAAGTTGGAGGTGCAGGCTGGGGCTGCACTGAGATGGCAGCCTCCAAACAGCTGCTGATCGGCCAGGCACCCGGACACAGAGAATCATGCAACAGTGAACTGAAACTGGGGGCGGGGAGGGGGAGCTTCGAGGAGGCAGAATGTAATTGTCTTGATTGGAATTTTCGTGGGCCACCAGCCAATCCTGCTTCCATCTTGTCGACATAAACATCAAGAATTTGCTTTTCATCATGCTGCTCAAGAGCTCTCTTCTCCTTTTCTGCCTCTTCAAACTCCTTATCTGAGCAAAGCACAAAGAAACCACTTTTCAAAGAAAAACTGTCTTGAAATTCAGAACAGAATGCAGGACTCGTGGCCCACAGGAAACCCCACAATCCGAACAGGAAGTGTTGGGGGGCGGGGGGACGGAGGAAAGGCTGACCTTGAATTCACCAAGAAGGGACAGGTGTGAGGACCCTCCTCCTGCTCAGCCCTGAGTTTGGCTTAAGCAAGGGAGAAGGGAAGAGAAATGGGCAGAATTTGGTTCTTTTTTGTTTTTGTTTTTGCTTTTGTTTTGTGCTGAGGAAGATTAATTCTTCTGACCTCTGATTCTTCTTTTAAGGTTCATATGCAGTCACCAGGGATCCCAAGATGTGTTCAGTAAAAAATCTGACCCCCTGGATGGGGTGGAGTCTAGCACAGGGGCTGGAGAGAAACCCTAAGATCTCTTTGGGAATCAAACCTGCCTTCTCCATTTCGTCAATGTCCACACTTGTTTCCTTTTAACAAAGAAGGTTTTCCCCGCTCCTGATGTTTCCTTCTGTGCAGAGGGAACCTATTATAAGAGCCCTAGCCTCTCTCTTTCTTACACTGGGGAAGACGGGCTCACCTCAGTGATGAGTTTTGCAGCAGGACCTGGGCACTGCCCTTCTGCTCCCTTCTCTCACGGGAGCCGGCCGACCCCTTGGACCAGGCCTCCACTTGCTCCTCCGGCTCTAAGTCCTAACCTTGGTAGTCCCCCAACTTCTGCCACATGGGGACTTGCCCAGGTCCACAGAGGCTGTCAGTTTGCAAGTCCATCTGGCTCTAACACTAAGCTACGTGCTCCAATCCAGGGGGTATTTTGGCCTTTATCTGTCTTGCTCTTTGCCTTATGCATCAATTGATTTTCAACACAGGTCAGGGACAATGGTGCTGTGTATCAAACCTCCCTGGAGCCCCTCGGCTGCTTACTCCATCCTGCAACAGGCTCTTAGGGCACAACCCACGGTAGGATGCTTGCATTAGTGATTCTCCGTCACTTTTACCCCATCAGAAGATGCTGATTCTTAGATCTTACAGATGCTGGTCGTTTCCTTTGATCCCTGGGACAACCTGAAGGTGGCAGAGACATTTCTTGACACACAACCTCCCCAGGGCAGAGGGGCTGAGACTGAGGATCTGGGTTAGACAGAGACTCCCTATCTGATCACAGACCCATGGACCCAGGGAGAGTGCCAGGAAGCCTGTCTTTGTCTGGGGTCTCTTCTAGGTGCCCACTAGCTGGCCAGCCTGATGGGCTCCGGGAGAGTCAGGGAGCAGGTCACCGCGAGGTCTGGCCTTTCCCGGCTGTTGGTGAAGCCCTTTGAGAGTCCCGACAGCCTTGGGAAGGGGGTGAGTGGTCATCTAGGCAAGGCAGGCGGCACTGATAGGGCTTAATCCAGCCTTCTGTCTGCGAGCCAGGCCTCACATTAGCCTTCTTGCTCGGGCTTACAAATGGCAGAATGAGTCACAGAACCTCAGGCAGAAGGTCTTCTTCCACTTGTACGGGTTGGGCTTCATACAGCTCCAAAGGACACCATCATGCTAATGTAGTCATTATGGATTATAGAATTATTACAACAATTTCCAGCAAACAGCAATAAAGTGTCTCAAGGATGGGGCACATTTCCTGAACTCTCACAGATTTACCATTTGGGCTAGTAATATGGATGCTTAAATGACTTCAAGATAAACTTTTCATTTTACAAATGAGAACTTGAGAGCCATGGGGAAGAGACTTATATCAGGTCCCAGATTTGGCTGGTAGCAGAGGTAGGACGGGAGCCCATGCTCCTAATTCCTGGGGCACTGCCCTCCTCTATATTGCAATGTCATTTCACAGGAGGCCCCGATACCTGTCGCTTCCTTCTTGCAGCATCGATGATAACATGGATACCCAAGCACAAGTCAACTTGCTTCCTTAATGGCCCTCTTGCATGACAATTCCACCAGCTGGCTCACCTCCTCCCCACTCATTCTGCTCCTCTCCCCAACCAGCCTTACCTGTTGTAAACTGGGTGGTCGTGGACTCGCTCTCGTTGGTCCCGCGGACTGCGCTGACCCACACCTCGTACCGGGAGCCGGGCCGCAGGGCCTGCACTGAGTATTGGCTCAGGGGAGGCTGCAGCCGGAAGGTGGTCTTCCCGCCTTCCCCGCCCACCAAGCCATACTTCAAGAGAATGAAGTCAACTTTGGCTCGAGGGGGCGTCCACTCCACGAAGGCCACAGTGTCGGAGACATCACGAACCAGGATCTGCGTGGGCCCATCAATGACTGAGTAAGAAGGACCAAATAGAAAAAAAAGCTTGAGAAATGAGCATATAATATCAGCTCTCTCCTTTCCTCCTTATGTTAGCTGGCTCAGTTAGAGACAGGATGAGAATTATTATCCCATTTTACAGTTGGGAAAATGAGTTACAGGAAGATGAAATCTTTTCTGAGCACAGACAGTTTGGCAATGGGGGAACCAACACAGGAATTCAGTTCCTCTGAATCTTCTCTCACCAGGCTGTGGCTTCTCAGTGCTGGCATTTCCAAGTCTGGGCAGAGGAAGGACACTTCCTGGCTTGAGAAGGCCAGCACTGCTTCTGTCTGGAGGTAATGGGACAGAGAACTGTGTGCCCTGCTGCCCAGCTCTCACCTTCTTTGAGCCCTGAGGAAAGATCTAGGAAATTATCAGCCCTACATAAGCATCTGAGATTTCCAACTTTGTTGCTAAAGAGGACTTCATGAGTATCCAAAAGATGTCCTTGCTTAGCCATACTAACAACTCGGTCAACCCAGCTGCTAAGACAGCACCAAAACCCAACAGATATTTGGGACACGAAACATGCCTTCCAGGGAAGTTTGTTTTTCTGGAAAAAAAAAAAAATGGACCTCAGTTTTGGAACAACCTCTTGTGGGCTGTTTTTTTCCCACCTGTTCTTGCATATTTCTGAGCCAGAAAGGCACTGCAGTCACTCATAGTCGCTCAAGTTTACTCAGCCTATGTCCCTTGTGAGTACTGGCCTCTGGCACTTAGCAGCTGAGGGGAACACCATTGTGGGACGGCATTACCCTGGAAAAGCAGGTTGGTTTCCTAGGCAGCCCACCATCCATGGTTCCAGCACCCATTTAGGGTCCTGTTCATATTGAATGAGATGATGGTGGGGGTGGGGGAAGCTGAGAGAATGTAGAAGGGAAATAGAAAAACAAAAGGCTTAGTGAGGAGAACAGAAAATAGTGTTCTCAACTCCTCATGGTATGTCTGCATGGCCAACATGCCCTTCTTTGAATTACTCATTATCTTCTAAAAGAGTAGGCCCAGCTTTTGTGTTTGCATTTGTTATGTGACCACAGCCCTCTGGCTGGAGCTGGTTAATATTAATATTCTTCAGGGATTTCGAATTGGAACAGGAGACCCTGTTTCTTTGGTTAGCTGGTTTTGGACCATGTAAGAGCCAGAACAAGTGTGGCCACGTTCTACCATATACACACATAAATAGAAAACATCTGATCTGGAGAGAGAGAGAAGGAGAGAGGGAAAGTGGGAGAGACAAAAGGGGAGAGGGAGTTTTATAATAAACACATATTTGGTCTTCCTCCCCTTCCTGGCTCAGAGCTCCTAAAACCCCTGGAATTTCCTAAGTGATAAAGTTGTCCTGTGTTATGTTAATGAGGTAAAAGTGAGGGCTGGTTGCCAGGGCCCCCAACCATGTGATTAGTAACTTTTAGTCCCACCCTCTATCTCTGGTCAATCAATCAATCAGGCCTTCGTGATGAAGCCTCCATAAAAATTTGAAAGATCTGGGTTCAGAGAGCATCCAGGTTGGGGAACCAGAATGCTTTCACATGCTGCTGTGCTGGGCCCCAAGCTCCCCAGGGACAGAAGCTTCCTTTGTTATAGACTTCACCCTGTGTATTTCTTCTCCTGGCTGTTGATTCGTATCCTTTAATGTCCTTTGTAATAAACCAGTAATCTAGTGAGCAAACAGGTTTCCTGAGTTCTGTGAGGTGCTCCAGCAAATTAATCAAACCCAAAGAGGGTGTCATGGGAACCTCCAATCTGTAGCTGGTCAGTCAGAAGCACAGATGACAACCTGGACTCGCAATGGGCATCTGAAGTAGAGGGCAGTCTTGTAGGACTGAGCCTCAATCTGTGGACTCTGTTGCTATTTCTGGGTAGATAGTGTCAGAACTGAGTTGAATTGTAGGACCCCCAGCTGATGTCACAGAGAATTGCTTGGTGTGAGGAACACCCCCCCTCCCCCCGCCTGGCTCCGCCGACAGGAATTGGGTGCAGAATTTTAGGAGCGAAATATACAGAGAGAAGCAGAAATGAATCCCTACGTGGAACTTCTAGATGATATAGAGAGTAACTTGATTCCTGATTTTCCATTTTCTGGTTCAGGTCTTTCGTGAGACCCAGATGCATTTCTGGCCCTGGCGTTGCATGAGATAACCTATATCCTTGCAGTAAATTCTCTTTTCTTGCTTCAGTTAGTTTAAGAAAGTTTCTCTTCCTTGTTACCAGACAGTCTTGACTTAAGACTGGTTTTTTAAACTAACGTGCACTGGACTACTTCCCACTCTGTCTCTGGATGGGAATACCTCCCTCAAGATTGTCTCAGGCTGACCTTGAGCCTCGAAATCTTTGAGACTTGGGCCTTTCGCTGGTTACCTCACCCTCTTTCTTGGTCTAGCCCACTCCTGTTTTCTATTAAGCAGTTTAGGATTTTTGGTCCGGCACCAGCCAAAATGAAAATCACCAGACCATTTTGATGCCACCTGGACTGGAGTTAAAATGAAGTTCTGTTTTTCATATTTGGGGTAACAATGTGATTTAACAGAACACATCCAGATGTTTTCTTTTCAACATGCTGTATTTAGTGGTTTCAGATAACTTGGGTCTTTTTCATTTGATTTAACTTAATAATGAAATGGGGGAAATGGTCTCCTAGCTGCTGTATAAACATAATGCCTGGAATATAGCAGACACTCAGTAAATGGGTGTCGAGTAAGTGAAATGAATGGATGATCCTCCATATTCATGAGAAAGAAGAGGAAGCATTTCAATGAACTGGAGCTTGTTGAAAAAAATAGAAGACGTCACAGAAACTTCAATGACCACGCAAGTCTTTTGTCCTTCAAGTCTTTAAATCCAAAAAGCGCTAATCGTAATGGATTGACCATATTAGAATGTGATTGCGTAGCACAGAGGGCTCTAGCTGTAAGGGGTCTTGTGATTTGCATTCCCAAAATGCCTGCCTGGAAGAAGCTACTCGGAGTACCTGATGAAGACTCAGAGCTTTGCATGAGGGGCATGGTGTAGGTCACACCTCAGCAGAAGGAAATAATTAAATAATCATTTTCTAAAAACAGCAGACAGAGTTGGGAGCCAACCATGTTTTCTGTAGCCACCCTTGGATTCTACTGTTTGGTTGGCCACTTAGTAACGATGTCCCACTCCACTCAAGGAGACATCAGCTTGCTTTCAACTGAGCCCCTAATTTCTAAACAAACACAAGTCCTACTCAAAAAGTAAACTGGAATAAATGCTTTTCTTTCCATTTCTTCATGACTCGGTACCCAATGCCAAAATATTAACTAGGATAGTTTGCTTAATTGAAACAAATTCTGCTCAGCTTTACCACAAATTTCTAGATCTGGAACTTTTAATTTTAATCTTAAAGCATTTTCAAACCAAAAAGTACTGCAAATTTCGTAAAGATGTGGTTTGAGTAGAAGGCTAAGGCAGGGTTGGGCTATCTTCTCTGTGTTCTCAACACTTGGGAAGAAAAACCTTCTACAGCTATAATGCTCTCTGCCCTCTTATGAACCATCTCTTCCTTCTAGCCTTTTGTTTTCTACTAATACTTTCTTAATAACAAATCTTAGGAATAACTGGAGACCTGAAACATTCCACATCAAATGAGGAGAATCTGCACATGTTACCAGCTGTCAGCTCTTCATGTTCCAGCAGAACCTTGGGGAATGGAGCTGTGGAAGGACTCTGGCCACTGGCATCTGGAGAGATTCCTATGGAGCACTTTTAGGCTTTATGGCTATGGAGTTTCTTCTGAAACATATTTGGATTAGAACAGTGGTTTTAAAGCCTTTTTGCTGGGATGTAACACTCTTTTTAAAGAATAAAATCTTAAATGACTGTACAAAATATAAAAGAGTAAAATGGAGCTGCCTTGGTTGGAGGGTGTGATGGACATGGAGTGGGAGTAACTAGAGGCCTGGCTCTCCACTGCATCCTTGCCTCGAGGTGCTGCCATGGAACCCTGGTACTCTAATGGAACATAATCTAATGCCACATCGTTTTAAACCAATGTTTTCTAGACTGAGCCTACCCCTCCGAATCTGATGCTGTTTAGTTTGGTTCCAATTAGCAAAGTATGAATCACTAACACATAAACATGGTCTCATTACACAGTGTTGTGGTTCCCTTTTCTGACCAACTCGGCCTTTGTCCTGGACTCATGACTGGCTTTCTTAGGTGTCAGTTTCTGTTTGTGAAAAACAAAGCTGTACTCATATTCACCTATCTCAGTTTCTGTTACTAACAAGGAAAGTTGTTTAACCTTCGAGTCTCAGCTCTCCCAGGAATAAAATGAGAACCAAAAATGATGCCAGACACTATTTACAACTTTTGAGAAATTCTTAGTGAGGGCACACTCATATGTATCATAATTGCTAATTTATGGCATTGAGGTTGAATATCTTTTGTTAGTTAAGGCAAAACACAATGCAGTTAATGAACCAAACCTAAAAATATAATGATCTTGCATGAGATTAACAGTAGGGATGAAATAATAATCAATTTACATCATTGCCTTGAACAGTGACCAAACCCACACTTACTGGTTTTGAATGACTTATTTCCTACCACTCTCACTTCTAGGTGTGTTCTCTGAGTATATGTGTATGCACAAGGTATAGAGCCCTCACTCTCACCAACACAGTGCTAGTCACCTTGTGTGCTTTATCTAATTTAATCCTCATGTCAACTCAACGAAGAGGGTATTATTGTTCATCACTGTGCTATAATGAATTGAGGTTTGGGAAGGGTTGGATGACTTTCTCCAAATTTTACAAAAGGTAAGAGTGGGTCAACTCTTGATGCTTTCAAAGCTCAAGATACTAGGAGCTGACAATCAGGCCTCTTAATGAGTACAATCAGAGGAAATACACTGGAAATCTTAACAAAGAATTTTCCCTGTAGAATACTCTCCCAGATTTCTTGCTTGCAAGGGCAAGCAATAACGAAGAAGTTCAGCTAAGCATCTGGTAGAGCAGTTTCACCTCCAGGTACCAAGATGGTTCTCCGCTCTGAGAGAAATCCTAACACTTCCTTGTCTCTCTACTTCTTGGGCAAGCCTGCACTTTTTTTTTTGAATGACCTAATGGGTAGCCATCAGGAAAAGGATGGGAGGCACTCACCAGTAGAGACGCTGGCCGAGGTAGGAAGGCTCCGGGCTTGCTCTTTCAGAGCCACCACGTTGACAATGTATTCCTCCCCAGGCTTTAGTCCTGTCTGGTTGAAGGATGTAACATCACTGGGGAGCTGGGCAATCACTCCTCCTTCATTGTTCTGGAGAGCAGGAGGAAGGGAGAAGCAGAGAAACCAAAAGAGAAAATCACTGGGGGAGAAATCTGATGAGAGGAAGATAAAAGTATGGAACACTGTGAATTAAAAATGGGGACTACGTCTATTCCCTCCATACTGATGACTGAGTGCTGGGGGCTGGGAACAACTCCCAGCAGACTTAAGAAGAATGCCACCACTCTATGAGGATTTGGCAAATGGGAAAGCAATTTTCAAGAACATTTCTTTGGCCTCGCCTGAGTCTATTGAGTTTGCCAATAAAAATTAGTCATGAGGTGATGTAGATCGGCTCTTGCCAAAGATTAAATATTTGATGGTTACAGGTAACATCCATCAATTTTTTTGGCATTTATCAAGATGAGCATACCCTTGGCTATTTAGAAGACTATACTTGTGTGTGAATGTGCGTAAACATCTCTATGTACACACAGAACATATTTCAAACTAAGACATTCCCAGTTTTTTAAAGAGCGAAGCTTTTATTTTGCTATATCTGGTGTTTCTCATGGTGTTACACTGGGTGCAAATCTGTCAATGTCTTGTTTCCCCTTCACCCAGATGAGTTAGGAATCAGCAACACAACCAACTAGGAAGTACAAAAAAGAAAAAGGGAAGCATGGAGCAAAGAATAATACAAAGGAGAGGGGAAAGAGACAAATTGGTGGAAAAGGAAAGGAAAAAGATCAACTTGATGATGTTGGGTCCAGAATTTATTATCTATCTGCCTGTCTGCCTATTATTATACATTTTCTATGTGTGTCCCTGGAAATGGAGGAGACAAGAGGGCTTTTTTAATGGCACTGCCCTTCTCCCTATTCTTTGGTCTTTGTTAATGTCACCTGGAGCATCCTATACTTAATTTATACCCATACTCTTATAAATCAATGTGACAGATGCCCCCCAGTGGCCTCAACCTACAGATCACACAGTTATTCCATGTGTTAGACCTTGGCATGCCCCGGCCAGCCCCTCCCTTACTTAGAATTTTACATATTGGATGTAAAACCGGCAAACCTGTCATAGTCTTTTTCTGTCTGAGCAGCAGGGTGACACGATCCTCTCCGCCCCATTATAAATTCAGTTGCCCACCATACTTTCCTGTCCATTTTAATGCAGATAAGACACATAAGAGAACATTTGTCTAGAATGTCTGCTTAGGTGTATTTAGCTTGCCATGACGTGACTACATCCACTTAAGAGAGTGGGGCATCCTGGTTTAGTGGACAGAGCCCTGGAATAGGAAGTGGAGACCCTGGTTCTTGTTTTAAGCCTGCCACCAACTAGCTGTCCAATATCATTTAAGTTCTCTGAGTCTTAGTCTCTATGAACCAAACAAACTAGACATAAAATGAAGGGTCATACTCTGTGAACTTGAAGGTCTTTTGTAGCTCCAACAGTCCATGCCTCTAAGAATTTTGAAGTATAAGAGTGGTGAAGTCACAGTCTTGTTAGCCAAAAATGTGTCATCTGTCATGAAGTCTGATGAGTGACTGAAAAAATGTTCTTTGATATTGAAAGATGAAGACAGGAGGAAGGAGTATGATTCAACATTATACCCCCATGAGTGCTATAGTTAGGGAGACATCAGTAGGGTCAACAAATCCTGGAAAACTACAACTGGTCAGGCACTTCTGGCAACTTGGAAAAATTAGTTTTAGGATCAATAAAACAAAATACTACTTGAAAGAATAGAAATGAATCTTAGGACACTGTTTAACTCAAAGAGGAATAATATAATTTGATTAAGAAATTTTTCTCAATTGATAGGTTATAAAAGGTGTTTTTGTGTCACGCCTCTAACATTTAGAGACTAGGCCGTGCAAGCTGACTTTTGGTGCATGTGTCTGCACAGAATGGAGCTGTGGGCTGACAGTGTGACTGATTCAATTTGGTGTTTCTTGCGTCCTAGAGAGAAGCCCCAACTTTTCGAAGGTCTGGTTTTCAGACCTGCTGAAATCACAGCTTGCTAAACCCTAGAGATTTCTGAGCAGAGAACTAGGGCTGGTGGCTGCTTCCTGCATCCTCCTGTCATCCAAGGCCAGCGTGCTAGGCTCAGGGTCACTCTTGTTAGTGAGTGCTCACCACAGCTTTGTGAAAGAAATGTTCTGCAGTCCAGACACCCACAAAATGCCCCTTTGTGTCCATAATGGCACAGAGGGAGCTATTGGGTAGGGCCTTCCTTGCTGCTTCTGATTCCAAGTTGAGGGTATGGATGCTCTAAACAAGGCTGTTTAGCAGTCTGACAGGTGGGTGTTACCTTTGGAATGAAGCTGATCTCCCACCCATCAAAGGAGAATGAGAAGGGCTCCCACTGCACCTCCACGGTAGTCTCTGTGATCGTCTTGAATCGCAGCCCTTGAGGAGTGGAGAGATCTGGAACACAGCAATGTGGGTGACCATGTCACGGCTACCCCCAGCAGGGACAGAGAGCATCATCTGGGGCTTTGTCTGGGTGTGCTTCCTCGTGTGGCGTCATGGGTGTGGTGGCATGTGGTGGGCTTTCCCAATCTGATTACAAACACAGTGGGTCCCAAGCACAGGATCAGCCCATGCCACTGTGGCCCTGGTGCTCAGCGTTGGTGAAGACATGAGTAAACTTAACAAACATAATCTCATAAATACTTTCTTGTGCTTTCTAATATACAATGTTATTATTAAAATACAAATGTCACTCTTTTCTTTCCTTAATAATGTGGTCAATCTTGGCATTTAATATAATGCCTTTTCTAGAGAACTTGAACACTATCTGTGGAGGCTCTAAGAATTCCTGAGAGGGGATATAATGACTAACGTCCCCATTTCACACCCAGAAAAAGGGAGGCACAGAGAGGGCTGGCTAAAGATAGGGGGTGAGCCAAGTTCAGATGAAGACTAGAATGCTTTTCTTGACCATCTGATGTGCAGCGAGAGCATTTTGTTTAACTAAAATCACCAAGTGTATGATGACGTGAAATTTCCATTTCATGCACATGAGCCAAGCAAAGGTATACGCCAAGGACAACAGCAGGGCCTGGGGTTGTTGCTCTCGCTTCACTATCTCCTTCTTTTCTCCAGGTGTTCCCTCATGATTTCTCTCTTCTCTCCCTCGCTCACCTTTTATCTCACTTGTTTTTGTTCCTCTCTTAATCTCCCTCTTTTTCTACCGCGCCCCCCCTCCCGCCCCCCCTCCCCCCCCCGCCCCGCCCCAACGCACATACACACACGCAGGCACAGGTTTAGCGAGGTGGAAGTATGCTCGTCCTAATGGAGTTCCAGTTACCAGCCCTGAAATACGACAGCACGACTTTTCCCAGTTCTCCAGGGAGCCTGCTCCCATTTTAGCTTTGCCTCGCATGGGATGTTCCCATTGGAAAACGGACAGATTCTCATCCTTCCTGTTTGGAAGCTTCCTCATGCTTCTTGGCTGCAAGGCAGGGCTGATTCTAAACCCACTTGAAGGCATGTCAGGTGAGTTTACACGATTTTGTCCTTGTCACCTGGGAGCTTGCCTGAGGGGATGCCCCGAATTGTCATAATAAATGCCACAGGAGATGGAAACCTCATCACTGCCTGTGCACGTGGATCAGAGAGGAGATGCTTGGGAGTCAGGCCAGGCACTCGCTGTGGTGACTCATCCTGGAGCAAGGTGGGGAAAGCAGCAGATGGTGACTGGCCTCTCTACACGATCACTGCAGATATTTAAAACTAGTTCTCAGGCATGAGAGGAATTAGAAAAAGGGTCAAATATAAACAGAGATAATTATAGGCATATTAACAGGGCCAGCATTCATAGGGGGAGTCCAATATTATAACAGGATCTTTGTCACCTGAAAAGCAAGGGGACAAGACGACTTCTTAAATCCTTTCTCCTCTGACTGCCCCTATCCTTGCATCCTTCAAAGCACAGTTCAAGTCCTTGGTCCTCCGTGAAGACTTCGAGGTCAACTCTTCCTCCCCCTTCTCTGAACTTTCATGGTATTTGTTACCCAAATACCATCTTGTCATTTGAGACCTATATAAAATGGGCTCAGAACTCTTATCCTGCATTTGATGATAAGTCCTGTTTTACCAACCCAGGGGCTAATGTTTCATGGTCACCTCTTTTTTGAGTTTCCTGTTACTACTGAAATCTCTGTGTGATATAATAAACAATAAATATTTGGTCTTTTCCCTGGCTCCTGGCACACAGCTCCTAAAACCCTTGGGATCTCTACAGTGATAAGAGTGTCTTTTGTATGATTATGTGATAACTGGTGGCTAGAGGCCCCTAGATAGCTGGTCTCCAGAAAGACCAAGGTATGATTAGAGGTTTGGAACTTTCAGCCCCACCTCCAAACCTCCAGGGAGGGATGAGGGGCTGGAGATTGAGTTAATCACCAATGGCCAGTGATTTAATCAATCATGCCTACATAACGAGACCTCCATAAAAACCCTGGACAATGGGGTTCAGAGAGCTTCCCAGTTGGTGGCCACATGGAGGTGCTGAAAGGGTGGTGCACCCGGAGAGGGCATGGAAGCTCCATGCCCTTCTCCCACACTTTGCCCTGTGCATATCTTCCATGGGGCTCTTCCTGAGTTGTATCCTTTATAATAAACTGGTAATAGTACATAATGACTCTCCTGAGTTCTGTGAGTCATTCTAATGAATTATCAAATGTAAGAAGGACTTGTGAGAACCCCTTGAATTTATAGCTGGTTGGTCACAAGTATTGGTGACAACCTGGGACTTGTGATGGGCACCTGAAGTAGGGGCAGTCCTGTGAGACCGAGGGCTTAACCTGTGGATCTGATGTCAATTCCAGGTAGATAGTGTCAGAACTGAATTGAATCATAGATCACCAAGCTGGTGTCAGAGAGTTGGAGAAGTGGTGTTGGAAAAGATGATTTAAGAATTCAGAGGTGTATAAAAAAACCCGAAAAGCACTGCCTTCCTTATCTCTTTCTTATTCTACTCCTTGATGTAGTCAATGTTAACAGGTAGTATGGAATCTTTCAAAAATCTTCTATGCTTAAATAAACATACAAAATATAAATACATAGCTATAGGAGTTTTTTCCTGTTACAAGTGAAAAAGAACAACTGGCATTTCTTATGGAGAGCAGTTTAACTTGCTCCTTATGTGTATCTCAGTCTCTCTGTTTCTCCCCATTGAATCTTTCTAAACTATGCTCTAGAAACTCAACTTTTACAATGAAAATGAACTATAAAGATACTTTGCTAAACAAAAGACCATAAAGAAATTAAGCCACCTCTCCTTGAGGAGAGGTGGGTCTTGTCAGTTGTGGTTTTAAATAAGATTTTTTTTTCTCACTCTGCTATACACTTACCCTCTGTAACAAAACAGTTAGCACTTGTTTATTAAACATCCTGTATCACATCTCTGCGTCTTGAACCTCTAACTAGATTCAAAGTCTCTAAGTCTCACACTTTCCTTGACTTCTCGTTAGACTCTAGCTTATAATAAGTCAGAACTCAATAATTACAGTATTTTTTGTCCTTCTGGTTCCATTATTGGTAGGAGCTGCCTGAATTTGGAAGCCCTCTTAATCAGAAATGCCTTTTTCCTAAGTGGGTCACCTTGGAACCCTATCCCTCAAGAGCAATGATTACTACAGGCATCCCTGAAGAATTAAGAAAAGACACTACCATCATGAATGCACATGATCTCATGTAGGAGAAAAGGAGAATGAAGCAGGATGGGGAAATGGTACGTACGGGTGGCCACCTTGGCAGTGATGGGAAGGCTGAGGATGTTGCTAATGACAGCGTAGACGCTGATGTTGTAGGTGAGACCTGGCTCCAGCTCCGTGATGGTGACACCACTCCAATCTCCAGGCACCCGCTGCTGGAGCTGGAGGCCCCCCAGGGCCGTCGGCTGGTAAGAGATCACATATTCCGTCACTGCCATCGGCCCGTCCCATTCCAGCTCAATGGACCTGTCGCTGATACCAGCCACTCGCAAGTCCTCTGGAGGGGCAACTACCGGGAGGCAATACACAGATAGCATGAACTCAGAGGACTGCCTTCCCCATCCTGGACTCAACTTTCTTCCTCACATCTCACCCCACATGCCCTGTGTGTATGTTCTGCTCTGCTCAGTGGCTTGGAGTGGTTTGTAACTCCCTTTGTGGGCAGGTTCTTGTCTTTTCTGTGCTTATTATTTCCTTCTCCACAGGGCCATGAGTTAGTGGCATGCTGGAGTTGTCTCCTAGTGGCTCATGAAAGTTGATTGTCGAATTTTCAGAAGTTTTGCCAAACAGTTGTTAAACACAGCCATTATTACAGATTAAATTTTTATAAACTTATCATTAAGTGAATTAGATTAAAAGCAAAGGTAATAAATACTCAAAATTCAGCACTTTCAAATTATTTCACTACAATTTACTATTATCTATATCCTTAAGGTAATTTACATGTGTTGTATCTCTCTGGTGGAAACGTTACATAATCGCGTTCCACTGCACAGCTATTCCCAACTCCACATTTAGTGATGTTGTATGGGTAGTTGAAATTGGCCACGGAGGGAGTATTTACACCATAGAAATTGGCAAATGCTACAAATTAAGGCTTTTTATTTTTTTCCTCAGAGAGCCAGTTGTTAGATATTTAACAGCACACTACTGGCCAAAATTTTTGGTAGTTTAATAAGTTATTGTCACCAGGTTACTCTGGGAGCCAATATTTGATTTGGCAAGCAGGAATAAAGGCTTATTTCCTGGTTATTTTGCAAAATATAGGAAGCCACAACAGTAAGTCCTGGATATCATGGACTGATGAAGACCTTCAATAACTTTTATGATGTCATTTTCCCTTTTAAAAGGAGATCATTTAAGTTTTGAAAGAAATGTAACTAGTATTAAACCAATTTTTATTAGCCTTAACCCTGAGGATGATGATAAAGAAGAATTTCTGAGGGCTTTGGTTTGCTGTCTTGTCCTACTTCTCAAATGTTGCTCAGAATCACCAAAGATTAAACCTCATTGAAATAGCCTTTCATGTATGCTTCCCTTGGGAAGTGAAGATTTACCAGTAGCCTGGGTATTAAGTTATTGAACCTTTAAGACCAATTAGGAGGCTAACTCCAGTGTGCCTGTAATTGGACCTGTCCATAGATTAAATCAAAGATCAGACCAATATTTAAATAGTCATAATTAACATAAATTTATATGTAGAGGAGGCTTTGGTAATTTTAAGAGTCATCATTGGTTTTGAATTTCTCCTCTGAGTATTCTCACCCGTTCACTTTTACAAGAGCACAGGACTGAGCCAGCTGCTACTCACAAGACCGTGTGAGTGGAGAGCACCTGCCCAGTTGGCTGTGCTCATGCGTGCACCCTCAAATCCTCAGCAGAGGCAGAAATGAGGAGCCTTTTAACTGATCCCAGACTCACTGGATGGAAATTAGGAACAAATATTTGCAGTGCCGGGCATTTGTTTTGGTTGCTTTTGTGCAAAATTATTCATTGTATACAACAATCTAGACAGCAGAGCTTCCTCTGATTGAAGATGGCAAGTGTTAACCAAAACAAAAAATTAAAAATTTATTTGTTTAAATTTATAAAACTAAATAAATGTAAATGAAATTTAAATAAACTTTCAAATGATAATTTATAAGCTTATACCATTTCTAATTCTGGCATTATTAAAGCTTTGAAGTGCTCCAAGATCTCTGGGACAGCCTGTCTAATGCATGCAGAATGACTCCTAGGCCGAGGGAAGAAGAGTTGATATATAGAACTTATCAATATTTTGCATGACTATATTGAGTATTTATTATGCACCAGGCACAATGCTAAACACTCTTACATGAACGATCTCATTTCATCCTCTCACTAACACTACGGTCAGGCAATATTATTACCCCTATGCCAAGACGAAATTGGTTCACACAGTCAGCACGCACAGAAGACAGGATTTGAACTCAGGCAGAAGGACTCTAGAACCTCTTAGGCAGTAAACAAGATCGCTTTACATTTACACAGCATTTCACAGTCTGTAACACATGTTCAGACACACCATTTAACTAGAATTTTAACAATTCTTTAGTAGCAGCTTTATGAAGTAGACCGGGTAGATATAAATATCCCAGCTTTATGAATGGGGAAACTGAGTCCCAGGTTAAGGGACTTAGTAAAAGTCAGAGAGTTGGGCCATAGTAGAACCGATGCTCAAACCCAGATCTTCTACGCTTGGTGTTCTGTCCCCGACAATTTGTAGGACACGTTACATGTTGCGCCGGATGCCTTCTTTCATTTATACACAGCTCTCAAAAGTAATTGACATTAGAGAATAATTCAGGCTATCTTGTAGGATGTGAATCCCAGACTGGTGCTTATCCTAGAGGTAAGAGACTTCTTTTAAAAAAGGTTTTCCAGGGCCTGCCTCTTGTGATCCAATACATTGATTCCAAGTTTCCTCTGTGGGACTTCTGTCATAGTGACAGAAATGGCCATTCCAAATTTGAAGTCACCAACAACTAGGGCAGCTGGGACTAGCCAGTGCATTCCTTTTCAGTTCCTTCTTCCAGAAAATGAAGCTAATAATGACAACGGAGGATGATCCAAGAAGAGCATTTTGGGATTTTAAAGTAAGAAAGACGTGCAGAAGAACTTTTTATCTTGGTGCTTTAGCTTGAGACCTTAGCCTGCTTGTAAATACTGCTTTCACTTCTGATGAGAAAACAGCAATGGTTTTGTTCATGGTGAAAGTACTTTTGGAAGTGATTGTGGCTCAATGGAAGAGACCATCACCCCTCTCCCTGTGACTTAGCAGCACCTGTGCACATTGGGTGTCAGTAATTCTTATAAAACGAAATGATATTGAACTATAAAGCAAACTATAAAAGAGCCATATGCCTTGATTCAATGAATTTTGGACGGGTGCCAAGTATTCTTAGTCTTACTTCCTTTGGGCTTCCAATTTTGAACCTTGGGGAAAAGCAGGCGGTTAAAAAGTGGCTTGAAGAATTGGAGTTGCTTAGCTGCAAAGATGCCGAGCTGTTTACTTTTGAGATCTTGCATCAGTTTTGCACACATGCCGTGAGAGCAGTCGGAATGAGTTCCATGAAGTGTCCTGCTCCAAGGAGCGAGTGATTTCAGGTGCCAAAGGTCGTGCTGGGGGCAGTGCTGGCAGAGGCAGAGGCTGACGTGGATGAATCTCCGCAGGTCCCAGTCCGGGGAACAGCTTTCTGGATTGTTTCCAGCCCTGCTCTGGTGGTTCTTTTATCCTGCTGACTCATAGGGAGTTTGGGCCAGCTCACTGGCAGGCTTCCCCACCAAGCGCCTTCACTGGGGGCACATGCGGACAAATGGTTTAACGTGCTTCTCTACTCCACCTCCAACACCTAATTTTTTTTATCATTTGACAGGGCTCAGCTTTCATATCAAAAGACTATTTCTTTGCGTATGTGGATTTTAAAATTTTTATTTTTCCATTCCACTCTACTTAGCATCCCAGAGAGGATTAAAGAGTGCTAGAAGTTGGTAGGAGATCAGGTTCTTATTCTTGCTCTGCCATTAATTAGCGGTCTGGCTCTGGAAAAATCTCTCTGTCTCTCTCGACTGCTGCTTTTTAAATTTGTAAAATGAGAAGCCCAGAGTAGCTTGTTTCTAAGGCCTGTTTTAAGTGCTCATATTCATGAATTTTTTGTTCTATTATATTTACACAGCCAGAGAACAGAGGCAGAAAGGTTGAGATTTTTGTCTCATGGCATACTCTTCACAAAGATCAAGGCTAGGAGTCAAATATAGTGGCCTTGTGACATTATTCAATTGCATTCAAGCTCTAGGATCCTAGGGGACCTCAGAATGAAATCCAAACAATGGGCAGCTCTTTTCCATGCACTTGCCAAGAGAAAAGAATGACCTCCGGGGAAGTATATTTTGTGGCTCTCCATATTTTCCCCTTCCTTACTCTTCCTTCTCCTCTCCTCACTCCTGTTGGCAAGGGGAGCAATAGTGCTGTAGTGTGTGCACCTGGCCAGAAATGTCAAACGGTGGGTAAATAGTCCCCTCTCCTACGGCTTTCCCACAAAGAGCAAGCAAAGTAGCACTTTAGATAATGACCTAGATACTTCTCTGGAAGAGACCCCTGGCACTTGGTTTGAAAGGCTGGCGCTCAGAGCAGCACCTCCTGCAGTGAGTAGTGGCTCCAGGGTTGCTATAGAAACAGATGGAGATTATGCAACTGTCCTTCCTCACATGCTTTGGGAACCTGTAAAGGAATTTATCTGGGCCTCTAGAAGTCTTTCTCAAACAGCGTGGACATAACGTGTTGGAAATAATATGTGCTCATGGTTTGGACTTCACCAGTTGTAGTTATGCTAGCAGCTGCTGAGTCTTCCCTGAGTGACCAGGAGAGTTTGTCTCCAGTTCAGTTTGGACCCTGGATCAGATCAAGACTCTGTTTGTAAGTGAACCCATCCCTGTAGAAAAGCAAGGTCAAGAACAGGACAGGTATGTCCAGCCCAACAAAGATCAATTCTATTAAGAAGCGTGTGGACTGTGGAATAGCCATATGCAGCAGTGGTCCAACTGACCCTTAGCATCCTCTCACGGGCCTTCAGGTAGCCTCGTCCTGTCGGTGGGAACCAGGACCATGCTTCAGCCTCCCCAGCAACTGCCTAGTGACTTTGGATTCAGAAACAAGGCTTCACTTCTGCTTAGTATAACGAGTATTTACATTTTTAGAAAGATATTTCAATTCAGTACACAAAAATAGGAGGCCAAATGAAATAACTGAAATGGAAAAAAATGAGGAATATGAAAATATGTTGTTTTTCTTTTCATTATGGCCATTGATCTCTTAAAAGAATTTAAGTCGAAGTCACAGATGCAGGAACCTTGTCTAGCTGGTCTGCTATAAAGTGAGAAGCATTTCTGATGCTGAAGAACAAAAGGCTGATGACGCTGGCTTCCAAGGATCTCCCCTGTAAACTGATGTCAGAAGGCTGATCAGAAAATTCTTAGAATCAATCCATCAGATGGTTTAAAAATGTTTATTTGCTGTTATTTTTAATTTTAAAGCTTCTCAGTGGGCACTCTGAGCCCACTGTTACACATTGAAGTGTAAACGGAAAACATCAATTGCTTAACCTGTACCATTTAAAACACAAACAAATGTATCAGCAAGAGTCACTTGATTTAGTTAGAAGAGGATGAGCAGTTATAGTGAGATGACGAAAATAATCTGATTTTAGGCAAAAAAAAAAAAATCTCCAATGAGGTATTGGTATTTTTCCCTGCTGCTGGATTTAGATCTTCATTTTAAGACATCACCTTTGTATCGGTTTCCATGGTATAGACTACATATGGGGTTGGTTCCAATTTGCTATATGTCATCTGGAACAAAGGGAGCCCTAGCCTTTTAATATTCTGTCCTAGTTGTTAGAATGGGAGTTGGTGCTTGATGCCTTTAGTACTTTATTTCTGCTTAAATTTAATTCCTTGCCTATAAATGCTTTTTTCCACGTGGACACTAGATCATCTAATAAATTAGTAACACCTTGCAATCTGTAAGCTCCAAAATAACCAGAGTGCCTGGTTCGTCTGGTTATCTCATTCATTGTAAAAGGATGTGTCCCTGGAATATGGCAACAGGCAAGGCGGATATTTCGTAGCAGGTGGAGCTCTTGGAAGCCCTCTGAGTGGGAGAGTGGCACTGCCTAGGGTGGTCCCAAGGCCTGACTCTCTGCCCTCCCCCACCTGTGGGACGGTGGAATGCTGTCACCACTGCTTTTCTTCTAGTCTCAGGGGTAAGATCCAACTTTCAGCCTGAACTTGACTTTTTATGGTTCCTGCCCTTTTCCCCCTTAACTCTGCCTCGACAGTTGTGATTGACTCAAGAAATCTGCGCTCTTGGAAAGCAAATGAGAACAACTCACATGGGAATTAGTTTGCCTAAAATTCACCTTCCTCCCATCTCTCTTCCCACCTCCAGTCAGTTTGCTGGACCACCCTTGCCAAGCGCCCCACGGAGCTCCCCTTCCTACCTGCCGAGCAGTCAGGGCCCTGGTAGCCCTCTTCACAGACGCACAGGCCCTCCTGGCAGTCTCCTCGCCCACTGCAGGCGTTCGGACATCTCCGCTGGCCACAGTCCTCACCGACGTAGCCCTCCTGGCATAAGCAGGTACCATTGGCACATCTCCCCTTCCCCGAACAGTCCCCAGGGCACCTCAGCTCGCTGCAGTCCTCGCCTGTGTAGGCCTCTTCACAGACACACTCCCCGTCCACACAGAGCCCCCGGGAGCTGCAGTCTGCCGGGCACCGGAGTTCGGAGCAGTCATCCCCACTGTATTCGCTGTCACAGATGCACTGGCCATCCACACACACGCCCCGACTGGAGCAACCCAGGGGGCAGTAGGGCTCTGAGCAGTTCTTGCCAAACCAGCCTTCATGGCAGATGCAGCCACAGGACTCGAGGCTAAAGTTGCCGTGGCCACTGCAGTGAGGGATATAGTCCAGTTGTCCTGGAACAGTCAAGGAGAAGGTCAGAGGGCATCATGGCACCTCTTGTAAATGGTGCATGGGGAAGGGTGGGCACGGACCTCTCCTCACTCTCTGATGAGGTTTGTGTCGATGAGAGTTAGGTTCAACCTACTTTGGTAGGTAATCAATTTCATAAATATTTTCACCTAATATGGGTTGTCTGTGCCTAGCATAATGCTGGGGCAAGGATGAGTGACAGCTGGTCATGTGTCCTTCAGGAGCTCACCTTCAGTGTCGTAGCTTGAGTTCCCTACCAGTGGACCTGAGATGAGGATTCAGGTGAAAGGGACTTATTAGAAAATGCTCCCAGGAAAAAGCGGTTTGGGAGAGGGCAAGATTGGGGAGGGAAGGTGCCCAAGCCAGGGTGCGTTGCCAGGCAAAGTCCCAGTGAGGGTAACTCGGGTTCAGTCCTGCAGAGTGCTCTGATCACAGTGCAGGTCACACCTCACCATGGCTTAAGCGCTGTCCCTGGGGGGTGTAAATGTTCTGGCTCTCTCGTTCTCTCTTTGGGCAGGCCAAGGAGGTTGAAGGCCCGGGGACAGTCCCTGACAAAGACACCCAGGTGCTGTGGGGACTGACGGGGATCCTTCAGTCAGTAGATTCAATGCTGAGCCTACTCCGCAGGGCAAGGTCATATGCTCTGCAGACCCACGCTAGGCCCTCTCCGTCCTGCTGTCTAACTCACTCTGCTCGTTCATCACAACCAAGCACCAGGCTCACGTCAAAGGCTTCCCAGAACCTCAGTCTCACTTAGTTGCTGTTTGCTGGGATCTTTTTAGGATTCTATGCATATCTCTGTCCTAGCTGTTCCCATGCTATTACCACAGTGGCTAATTTATCTGTCTAGCATGAATCCAACAAACTTATTAAACAAACACAAACCCAGTACCTGCTTGGCATCGTTCTCTGCACTTGGCCCTGGGGATGTGAAATCAAGTAAGTTAGATCTTTGTTAAATTCTGTCATTTCACGCAACCCCCAGGGCCGGAAAGGATACTACGCTGACACAGCTTAACATAGCTCTTGCTGGTAGACTTTTCCACGTCTGCCAGAGAGCCTGGCTGGAGGCTGGTAAAAAGCCTACTCACAAGAGCCACCCAGCGTCCTGGGCAGCAAAGAGTCCATGTCCAAGGACACCTGTGACTTCCCCGCATTGCCTCGCTCCATTGAAAAGGTAAACTGACCTGACTGCTCTCACTGAGGAACAGAGGACTGAACAACCGGCCTTTCTCTTCTCTCCTTCAGATTATTTATTTATAGTTTTGGTGGTGAGGAGGAGAAAGAGGTGAGAAAACCCATGAAATATTTCACGACTCAACACTGCCCCTAATCTTGTTATGTCTCGGGATGAATGTGTCTGACATCCCTCTGGACGTGTGTGCCATCCAGGCCCTGTTAAAATGTCATCCTGCCACCTCCTGCTTTCATCTCTGTGAAAGCCCTGAGCTATTGGACCCTACAGAGGTGAAAGCTTAAACCCAGGAGAGTAGGACAAATTCCTCTTCTTATTAAAGGATGAATGGCGTGGCTCTAAGGTAGCTTTGGGTGAGGGAAGTGGGGCCCATAAGGGGACGAACACAATTTCTGCTCACTGGGGGTCAGCTAGTAATAGCTACTGCTTATATGGTGCTTACTGGAAGCCACACTTCCATCCAAACAGATGCTTTCATATTTAATAATTCCTTGCCCTTCTGGTCTATCACTATTTGTCGATGGGGAAAGGAAGGCACGGGTTATGCAACTTACTTAAGTCACAAAGTAGCAAATAGCAGAGCCAGGATTTGAACTCAGGAAGTCTGGCTCTGAAGACTTCTCTCAGAGGGGCAAAAACAGTAATTCCTAAGTGTTACTAGTCAGGGGGTGGGTGAGGCTAGAAGTGCATCTCCTGGTCATTCAGCCTTTTGGGGGACGGAATAAGCCCTGTGAATGTGTGTGAGTACGTGTGTGTGCATGTGTGTGTGAGCAGATGTGCACTGGTGGAGAGGGCAGGGGCTAAAACTTCCATCTTGCCAGAGAAGACGGGGACAGGTCCTCCGAGACCTTAATGACTATCATTTACTCAATGGGAGAGAGGCCGTGATTGAGGGAATCGAGCGCCTGCATTCTCTAGTCCCTCAGGTTAACACGGGTAGATATCATTTCGACAGCCTGTGAAAACCAAAGACGAATGAAGACAGACATCAAATTCCCTGCTCACCACAGAAGTTGCCGTGCTGAAGCGATGTACCATTACCTGACACATCCCCCCAAAATCAGGTTAATGTATTTCAAACTGGCTAAGCAGTGTAGAGTCCCTGCCCGGATCCCCCGGGAAGGACCGCGTTTAGATCTTAGAGACATAGTAACCGAGCTATGGACGAGGGCACTCTTTCTCCCCAGGTTTCTCAGGGGGTGGCTGCTCCCTCGCTCTCTCTCTTCCCTCTCCCTCTCTGCTCAGCCCTCTCCTCCCCCTCCCTCCAGAAGACTCTACCTGTGGCAGCACTTCCTTGGCAACAGTTGCTGTCGCATTGGTCCCGCAGCAGCGACACCTCCCTCTCCAGCATCTCAATCCGGCTCAGCAGCTCCTGCAGCACCTGGGCGGAGCTGGCACACGGGCAGGCCTTTTTGGGGAGGTTGATCCTGTGGGTGAAGGTGACCTGGCTCTCGTGGTCTGAGGTGTGGCCCGTGTACTCTGCCAGCGCCTCGTCTTCGGCACTCACCTCCTGCTCGGCCGAGGCCTCCAGCCTCGAGGAGCAGAGGCTGTCCAGGGGCACGTTAATGTTGTACACGTGGTTGAAGACCACAGGCTGCTCTTTGCCCGATGTGTTGTAGTTGGCACCACCTCCTTCCTCCACCACTGCCTGTCTCTGGACCCTTTCCGTGGTGACCTCCAGCTGACACTCTGTTGGCTTGAGCAAGGAGCCCAGAAGGATCAGGTTGACACCAATGAGCATGTTCTTCAGGACTACTGTTTCCCCGTCTGCCCCCATTCTCTCAGCAAGAGCTCCAGGTTCAAGACCAGCCTGCAGCACACAGCATGGAGTTGCGGGAATCTGCAAGAGAAACCAAGGAACGAGAAGATCTCTGAGACCTGCAGCTCGGCACCACACAGGGCACAATCCTACAGAGCTACAGAATAGGCACAAAAGGTTTTCAAGGGGGTGGTTGGGAAGGGACAACGACTACCACGGTCATAAAAGCCCGGAGCTTTGTTTCCTGGAGGAATCGATTCCTGGAAATGGACACTGCTTCTTCAGAAGAACATTTTGATTTCCCAAAAGGCTTATCTAGAACACATATCTCGTCCCCATGGTGGGCAAGTGGTTCCAGTGAAGAGGATACACGAGGACCTGGGCCAGGGGCTCTGTGGATGGGCCAGTCCTCCGAGGAGAACTCAGTGCATCTTTTCACCGCTGGGTGAGAATTATGATGAAGGATGGAGCCTTTGGCGTACCCTCACATTTCTCCAGATATTTATTATGAAGGGCCTCTGCCAGCCACTTCAGAATAACTTATTAACTCCTCTAAGCTCATCTATTCCATACAAGTTGACTTTAGAATAACCGACCAGGCAGATAATATAGTTACAGGTAATTGTGGTTGTTAATAATCCTTGGGTACATTTGTGATTATCTGGGACTGTATGCTCTGAACTTTCTTTTAATCTTCTCATTAGTATAGACCCAGTGCTTTGTGACCACAGGGTGCCTTTCTCCTGAGGTACTGTTTAAATTGCTAAAATAATGAATTAGCTCCTCTGCTGGTTACCTAGTCACCGAGAACCACGGAGAACGATAAATTTACTGTAATGTAAATCAGTTTTGCAGAAATTATACTTCTTTTCTACTCTCTATGTAAAAGAGAAAAGAGGCTTACAAACCTTGGTTCTAAAGGTGGTGTTAGAGCTACTAAGAAGATTAAGGACTAAGAGAGGGAGTGAGAGAAACTACGAGTCTGAGAGGAAGGCAACAAGCGAGAGCTAACATTTATTGAAGGTGTGCTGTGTCCACACCGTGCTGCGCCCCTCACGCGGAATCTTACTTGACCTGCAGAACAACCCTCGACGGGGCGTTATGATTATCCCCATCTTATAATGGAGGAAATTCTGCCTAGAGAGCGTAAGATTTGAAGGCAGGCCTGACTGATCCAACACCTGTGTTCTTCACTCCTGTGCTCCAGGGCCTTTCTTGAAAAGCGTGTTCAATTTTCTGTTGTCTCTGATGGAGACTGTGTAACTCTAAGATCTTCCCAGGAATACTGAGGTTGGAAAGTTTTGTTGGGGCCAGATCCAACGTTCCTCCCTCCATGAAGCGTTCTTCTCTGCCCTTTTTCCTCCTGTCCCTCATCTGTTCTCCCCAGTGCAGGCTGTGTGAATGCCCCGCGTCCCACGAGCCCCCGCTGACAGCATCTGCCACGCTGGACCATGGTTTCCTGTGCCTGCTCTGCTCCACCCGGACTGCTAAGTCAGTTCAGATCAGACCACGTTCATCTGCCGTGTGTGATGAGTGCCTAGGACAGCACAAGTGCCCTATCTGTGCTTGTACAATAAATGGCTGGGTGGATGCGTGGAAGGAGGAATAAACAAATGAATTAATGGGGCTGGCCCAGTGGCGCAGTGGTTAAGTTTGCACATTCTGCTTCTCAGTGGCCTGGGTTTCCCCAGTTCGGATCCTCGGTGTGGACATGGCACCGCTTGGCAAAAGCCATGCTGTGGTAGATATCCCATGTATAAAAAAGTAGAGGAAGGTGGGCATGGATGTTAGCTCAGGGCCAGTCTTCCTCAGCAAAAAGAGGAGGATTGGCAGTACTTAGCTCAGGGCTAATCTTCCTCAAAAAAAAAAAAAAAAGTTCATTCTTTAGACAGAAAGAGAAGATGAAGACATTCATATGAAAAGAGTAAATATTACAAAACAACAACAGCAAATGAATTAATGAGCAAATGCTCAGTGAGCCAAAGGTTGAATCATTCTCCAGCTCATTTAACTTCTTTTCATTATCCTCAAGTTATTCACTATTGTCTTCAATTTTAGTTCAACTGGATAACGTCTGAGTATTGATTTTTTTTTTTTTTTTGGCAGGGAAAGATTCTCCCTGAGCTAACATCTGTTTCCAATCTTCTTCTTTTTTTTTCCTCCCCAAAGCCCCAGTACATAGTTGCATATCCTAGCTGTAAGTCATTCTAGTTCTTCTATGTGAGCTGCCACCACAGCATGGCTACTGACAGACAGGGTGTGTGTTCAGTGACCAATAACCGAACCCAGGCTGCCGAAGATGTGAGAGAGCCAAACTTTAACCAGTAGGCCATTAGGGCTGACTCTGAGGTTTGGTTTTTATTAGGAGTAATCTGTATTAGTGACTAGTATAAAAGGCTGATTTATTACTCAGCCTTTATACCATATATTGGAGCATGATCTGTGCCTGCTCCCAATATGAAAAGGAAGCAGTGAAACAGAACAGTTAAGATCATGGACTCTGGAGTCAGGCTGCCTGGGTTCAAACCCAGCTCCTTCACTTTCTAGCTGTGGGTAGATCAGTTAACCACTCTGTGTCTCAATTTTTCCATCTAGAAAGTGGGGATCACAACAGTACCTACCTTATAGAATTGTGGTGATGCTGAGTTATTATTTGTATAATACTACCTAGTACCTGGCATTGACTGAAATAAATAACTATAGTTTTTAGACAAATAGAATAATTGCTCTGCTTCTTCTCTTATCCAAGGGCTGCCCTGAAATCACTAGACCATGTGAGAAGTCTCATCCGTTAGTGGACAAGAGGAAAGCCAAACCTTAGCATACCCTTGTCCAAAGAAGGGTGGGGTTCTTGGAGAGATGTGGGAGGTGGCAATCTGTTGGTCACATCTGGATGACGTATGTCAACCTTGGGGATAGATGGAGTGACACGTCTGAACCAAACTGCCCTCGAAACTGTAAGCTCTCGCCATACCCCTTCATCCGCCTCAGGGGCTCCCTGCCTTCCCTCTTTCAGGTGTTCTAGGCACTGCATCCTTGGAGCACCGTGCTGCCCTTCCATTACTGAAAGCTTCCCAGGAAGGGCTCTCTCTCAGTCATTTACACTTACATTCAAGGCTAGGAAGCCTCAGCATCGCTCTTCCTAAAGTTGGTTTGTCTGATTCATGTTGATATTGCTGAAAAACATTTTTCTTCTGGAAATTGTGAAATTATTACATGATACCCATAACACTTAACATGGCTTTTTGCACATAGTCAACACTCAATAAATAACTGAAAGAATAAACAATGTTACAAATGAAAAGGAAGACAAATGACAGGAAAATTAAGAGGGAAAAAATGTTAGATTCTACACTTTAGTCCAAAGCAACAACTACAAAATTATATATGGAAATGAAGGTACAGCTTTAGGTGTGAAAAACACTTAAGATTTTGGTCAATAACCAAACTTACCATGAGTCAGTCTACAGTGTGATTTTTGTAGCCTCCGAAATCTTATTTAAACTTAGGTTTTATTAATTGAAAAGCAGAATAAAAGATGAGCAGGCGGCGGTTTTGCTCTGTACTGCACTGATCATTGATTGCTTCTAGGTGGCTAGGTTGTTGAAGGGACTCGAAATCTTGTCATATGAGAGGGAGGAATTTACCTCCCTCTGGGTCCAGGGAAGTGAAGACTCAGGAGGTACATTTATTCCTTTATCATTCATTCCTCTGACAGATATTTATTGATCACCTACTATATGCTAGTTTCTTTATTTATAGAAGTTAATGAATGTGTGTGTGTGTGTGTCTGTGTGTGTGTGGGCACAAGGAGGGGAGGATGGATGATAAATAAATAAATACCCAAAATAATTATGTATATCATATAATGCATATTATATGGTATTTAATATATGACAATGTAACATACATTTGTGCGTTTTTGTGGCAGGAAGTGGTAACGACTGTGGAGAAAAATAAAAGAAGATCACGGGTGGGGAGTTATGGAGGGGAAGTCACATTCCTATTCTACAGAGCACGGTCAGGGAAGGCTTCTCTGAGAAAGTGACAGCTGAGCAGAGACGGAGAGAAGTGGAGCAGGGAGTCCGGCAGATGGCTGAGGAGGTGCGTTCCAGGCACGGAGAGCAGCAAGTGTGAGGGCTCCGAGGCAGGAGCCGGCCTGGTGAGTTTGAGTGACAGCGAGACTGCGGCCAGGCAGGTGAGGGAGCAGAGGGAGGGAGCGGAGGTCAGAACAGTGGGGGCCAGACCAGCTATGGCCTTGTAAACCACCATAAGGACTTTGGCTTTTACTGTGGATGTATGGTCACATCTCTCAAATGCATCCACATCCCAAACATTTATTATAATCTAGTCCCTGTCCTTGAGAAACTCGCAGTCTCGTGAAGGAGATGGAAACTGTTGACCTTAAACAAATAGCCAGTTATTTCTCCAGCAAAAATGGGTTTCTTTGGGATCAGCAAAGAATTGCAATTTCGGGGTCTGCAACCATGCTAAGCCGTGCAAGTCCCCAGCAGCAAAGAGAGGAGAAACTCTTTTCCAGAGGGGAAGAGGAACTTGGGAGGGCCATTATAAACAAAGAGTCCATTGGAGGAATCGAGAGTTCTGTGTGTACTGGCTTTATTGACGGAGCTGTGACAGTCTCTCACTGGCTGAGCTTCCTGCCAGGCAAGAAGAGCAAGTCTTTCTTCTTCCTGTTGGACTCTGCTATCAATGTAGGGCATGAGTACTCCCCCTTTTGGCCTCCTGAATCCAATTTAATGAGGTTTCTGTTTATTAATTTTCACAAAACACAACTAAATATAATGACAATGCAATGTGATAACTACCATGACCAACAAATACACAAAATGCCCTGAGGGGGCTGGGGGTGCTACCAGCAACGCTGCCCTGGGCAGCATGGAAAGCTCCCAGAGGGGGTGGGGGAGCCATCAGTGCCATTTGCCCAGTATTTCTGGCCTGGCTTTCCAGACACATGGAAGGACTACATTTTCCATTGGGTAGGTGAGGTCATGCTACAAGTACTGGCCCATGAGCTGTGAGAGGAAGTGCTGTGTGTCACTTCTGGGTTGCGGCATTAATTG